GTAGTGAGATCGCAAAATATGTAGATAATGATGAGTGCTAGTTTGGAACGTGTATATGAAGTTAAAGTTTAACTTTTACCGAATGATAAAAGTAAGGACATGTTTGAGCTCTATTTTTTGTGTAGAATGTTTTTGGAATAGTAAATTGATAGAGAATGTGTAGTTAAAGAATGAGGAAAAATTTTAAATTTTTGTATAATATTATTTTATTGAAAAATATGTGATTGAAAAGAAGAAAGTGAAAAATATATTTTAAAAATAATGGAAATCAAAGAAGGGTTTACTTTTGATTCCCTAAAACCTGAAAAAGGCTAAAAATGTAACATTCAACTAGGTAAGGTTTTTATAATTTTGAATATTTGTAATTTGCCCTAGAAACAATTAAGTATTATCCATAAACTGAAGTGAAAAAGCTTATTCTTAAGGAATTGAGTCACAATGGGCCTTTATTTTGTTCAATCCATTGAGCACAAATAAGCCTCTATTGGTAAACATTTTTAGGAACTTTTCAAGAGGAATGGTAGTGAGATCGCGAAATATGTAGATAATGATGAGTACTAATTTTGAATGTTTATGTTGTAAAACAATCAAGATACTAGAATTGCTCTGATACCAATTGTTGTGAAACAAACCATCGGATTGAGATGTTGAAATTATATGGCAAATAATAATGAAATATATGATCAAACAAAATAATAATAAAGACAAAAATATGACAATGGAATTAAGAGATTTTATTGACTCAGAAATAATGGAGAATGGAGAAAAATTATAATAGATCTTATAATTCTAGTAATCTATTTTCTTACACCATAAAATTGTATAGAAAAGCTTAGTATTTATAGAAACATGTAGGGGATATCCAACCTTCATAGTAGAGTTGTTGATAAAGTATGATACCAAAAAATTCAGTTCAAAATAAATTACAACTCTCAATGGGCTTCCAAAATGGAATTTCAATTTGACATAGGACTCCATAGCATTTCAAACTGAATTTTTCTTGAAGTGCACTTCAATTAGAATTTTTCAATTACTTCAACAAGGAATTCAGATCACACCCAAATCCACCTTGACACGAATTCCACCAAGGAATGAATTGACTTCTTCAACAATAATAAAAAATAATAATTTCTCCAACAAAACACAATATTTCATGTCTTTCAATGAATTCAAGCACTACTTTACAGAATTATCTCAGATCCCAAAAAATCATAATGATTTTAAATTAATCAAAATGGGTTGTAACACATCCCAAAACAGAATCAAACCCAAATGCTTTTAAAAAAAGCTCCTTGCTAGATTGTACATATTTTACTCTACTTAAAGCATGCTCAACAAAATCAGCATCCACATACCTTTTTTTCTATTGAGTTTGTCCCTAACAATTGAATACAATGGCACCGCAGGTGATAGTGGCAAAGCGGCATTATCCATATCTCCTGAACTCCACCGAACTGTATTCTTCAAATCTGATCCTTTATGAGATCCTAAAGGTATTGTACCAAAATGAATGTCCACCACGGTACTGAACTTGTGTTGATTGACTCTTCTAAATTCTGGTTGACCCTGCAAGATGTATAACTGAGACATTTTATGTCTCTCCAATACAACTTGGCACCCTTACAAACTTTCAAAACTCCACCTCCACCAAAGAACTCATAACCCTTTGAATTAATGATAAACAACAAGATGAGATTTTTCTTCAAATCTGGAACATGTCGAACTTGGCCAAGTGTTTTAATTGTCCCATCCAAAAGTTTCAATCTGACTGAACCAATTCCAGCAACCCGACAAGATACGTTGTTTCCCATAACCACGACACTTTTGGAAACAGTTTCATATGTAGTAAACAAGTCCTTATTAGGACACATATGAAACACACATGTTGAATCAAGAATCCAATCATCTTCCAGTTTAAACTCAACATCAAAAATAGTTAAGAGATTTCTATCACTTACAACATTCTCCGCGAGGTCTGCTTCGCCTAAAGTATCTGAATATCTACTTGCAGCCATCATTTCTTTATTCTGCAATTTGTAGCATTCCTTCTTTAAGAGCCCCTTTTTCTTGCAATAGTTATAAATTTGATTACTGAACTTAGATTTCGATCTGCCCCTTCCAAAACCATCATGAGCAACCAGGCCTTCTCCATCTCTGACTTCAGAAACCAGATGCTTCATCTTCTCTTTTGAATACAAAGCATCATACACTTCCTCTATTGTGAAAGATCACGACTATACAATATCATGTCTCTAAATGAAGAAAACGAAGCGGTGAACGAACACAATAGGATCAAAGCCAAATCTTCTTCATCATACTTAACTTCCCATATTTCTAAATCAGCAAAGATCTCCTTAAATACAGCCAGATGAACTTCCAATGATCCTCCTTCTGCCATGCGATGAGCGTATAGGC